GTATTGTCTAACCTATAAATAATGACTCGTGCAGTGAGGTTTATTTAACAACAGTTATAAATACATATGCAATTAGTTCAATAAGTTAGTATTAAAAAATCATTAATACAGTGTTAACTTTCAGTTTAAAGGATTTTTAAATACTGGTTTATTCATTAAAAAATAATTTGAGTGATAATATATAACATTGCATCAAAATACACAAGTTACAAAAAAAAGTTCTACTATCCTTCATAGGATATATTATAGAGATTTAAATGTTAAGGTTTGAGCGTTATTGATGAAGGTAAATCCAAAAATGCGCCTCGAACGCACGAACTTTTAACGTGTTGTTTTTATTTGAGACACCCGGACTTTCAACATGTATCCTACATTACTCATGTATCGGACCTCTTATACCAACATGTACTTAGAATGTAGTTATATTTGGTGAAGGCACATTTGGAGTCCGGTAGATGGAACTTGTTAGCTCAGTTGCAGCAATCGTCTAAGGGAAGGAACATCCTGACAGAAATACCCGACCCTTCACGTAAGAGGTTGAGTTTAGGGCTAACAACCCTAACTTGTAAAAAAAGTTTTGTTACAGAAACAGTAACGAAGAAGTTTTCATTGTTACTGCCCTACACGCCAATGGCATACAAGGGCAGTAAGTAAGCACATTTGAACTATTTTCAGTTGCGGTTTTTCTGGTAAAAGCGAAATAATCTAATTTTAATCCTATTTCATTTTCTTCACAAATGCACTGAATGTTTGTCTTATGCCTAGTTACGATACATTTGAAAAGCATGATTAATGTCAAAAGTCCCGACGTCAGTTATATTAATTGGATCTGAAAATGTTTAAAAGCAATTGTGAACTACTAAGAAATAGCATTATATATTTACATAAAGCGTATACTAAAAGGGAACCAATCTCTGAAAAAATGTGGTAGATTCAAAAAGGTCTTTATACTTTGGCAGCTTGGTTAATGGATTAACCAGGGAGATATATGGAACATAGAACTATACAAATCTTTGATGTTCACTGTTATAGAAAGGGTAATATCAATGAGATTCAGTGAACAAAACAGATAAATTATATAGTTAGTTTCCCTCCATAGTAGAGCACTCATTTGTTTCAAGCTTCAGTTATTTAGGAATGGTTGATTTTTCATGTTAAACGTTGAGCAAAGGAATACACGCCTTCATTATGCAACATATTTTATCATATTTTCATAAAGTACTTTAACACTGTTTTAATTTACACAAATGTCAAACATCATATTAAAGGTCAAGTATGAAATTTGACACAGTGAAACAATTTGGTACTAGCCTTCTATCCCTCTATTTTGCAGGGGCCTCGGTGACCGAGTGGTCTAAGTAGTCGAACTACTGTATCACTAGCTAGTCAACACTGAGGTTGTGAGTTCGAATCCCGCACGGGGCAGGTGCACTCGACTCAAATCTTAATTGATTAGGATTGTCAGTTTTCCTACCGAAGGTCGGTGGTTCTCTCCGGGCACTCCGGTTCCTCCACCAATAAAAACTGTTAAACTGGCGTTAAACACCATTCAATCAATCAATCAATTCTAACTTGCAAACTACCTTGTTTGTTTGGACTTGAGATTATTTTCTCATTATTGTACGTGTACCAATTGTTTTATTGATTTATTTCTGATCAATAAAAAGGAGAAGGTCCGGTAAGGGCTTATTTTGGCCTAAAATTTGAAGTACATCTGATGACAGATTTTTGTCATTTTTTAAACACTTTAAGTGTCTACTTCAGTCGATTAAATTAGTGTATGTAAAAGATCTAAATTGATTTGGTCATTAAAATCGCTAAGATTCAAGCTTAAATATGAAAAATCTATCAAATATGCCATAAAACGTCGCTTTTTAGATGGTTTTTGTCTTAAATTTTCCATTTTAGACAAAACCCGTCTAAAAATTAGCACAAATGCTAAAATTGTGAAGATTTTAGTTATTTTGCATGAACTAATGATGCTAGTATCTCTGATGCATGTGCATGGTATTGTAAAAAAAAGCCCATATTTATGTAACAAAAGTATTCTAGTTTTCAATAATAGCTAGAAGTTTACATTTTTAACAAATTTGTGAAAATGCTATATTTTGGAACCAAAAAGGGGTCTTACCGGGCCTACTCCTTTAGGCCATTATGCAGCATTATGTGTATGTTCCATTGACATATACATCTATATATAAAAATAAGGAGATGTGATATGATTGCCAATGAGACAATCATGGTTGAAATCAAATATTCTTATGACTCTTATGATCATGGATAGTTCTTATGATATTGATATACATATAGATTATACATGTACAATAGACGCATAACATATAAGCATTTACTCTTACTAAAGTGTAACCAATTGAACATGTATAAGCGTAATATGTACAAACTACCTGTATAAACAACTGAACTATAAACAAAATAATAATATGAATAGTACGCTTCAAATGAATGCCTGCATAGATCTATTAGGGGATGATCATTTGATTTTGTAGGGGGGATGCAAGTTTTTTGATTGGAACTATCGTTTCCAGCTGCTGCAATGCAGTAGGACAAACGGAAGCGCCTGAGTATTGATTTCGGTGCTCAGTGATACGGTTCACTAGACGACGTTGTCAACACGTAATGGCGGCCATTGTTTGATGTTGGATTTGGCATTCCACGCTGTAAAGATGCATTTATGACATTCTTGGATGCTCAAACTTAATGCCACACAACATAAAAGGTAAAGGATTATTTCAGATATACCAAGTTAATTATTTTCAAATAAGTTGGATCCCAAAAAATGATTTAAACGGCAAAAATAAAGTGTAGAATTATATGAAACATGAATATTGAAATCCCATTTTTCATCATTTCCTTTTCATATATTGAATACACTATTTACACCAACCACTGGTGAATTATATTTGGATTTCGATCTTAGGTATCCGTCCTTGTCTCCGGGAATATTATACCCATACAATTTGTCAACATCCGTTTCAAACTGTTCAAAGTGTTCTTCACAACCCCACAGGCACTTGTTTCTATCCATGGGAAGCCCACTATCAACGTATATTTACGAGAAGGTACCCAACTACTTTTTTCACCTCTCCGCTTCAAACCCTTATTTTGCTGTCAATTCATTCTCAAATTTATTGTTCCATACACCATTCGATTCGTGAAAAGTTTTTCTTTCAGATGGTATGGATTGTATTTACCCTTAGGGTACCCCTTACCTCCAATACACAAGATTTGTCAATAAATATTCATGTGATTGTTTTTAGTCCTCCTACAAAATACAACAACTACCGGTTTAAGGCAGCGAATTTCAATACTGCTTGTGATTGGTCGGTTCATAGTTCATAGGGTTATTCATAAGTTAAAGGTCATTACACTCTCTAGATTTTACTTATTCATTTGTGACTCTCTAGACTTATCATTCACTGTTTTATGCAAATTAATTAGGACTAAAACTTTAAAGGCTACACGAATAAATATATCCCATATATTTTTTGTTTTCTAAAATTTAACTAAAAAAATCCCCAGTGAAATGATATTTGTAGCATCGTTATTTTTCTTTTTAATAAGGATTCAGTTCGTGAAATTTTGATACCCGCCCCCCCCTTTTTGTGGGAAAAATTCGGTTGATTATATAGGGAATCATTGACGCATGACTGGAGCGGGTCCCCTCTTATTAAAATTTCTGGATCCGCCACTGCAAATCATTAGAGTGTAAGACATATTCACTTCAACTGTTGGCTATTTTATAGCTGGTCTAATATTAATAGATTCGTCCCATTTCATATACACCAACATTTAATATTTAAAAAAACTTTCATTATTACCCCTTACAGAAATGAAAAGTTTGCTGCAATATTGCAACAATATTGCTGCAATATTGCGGCAAACAAATTTGTTTGCAAGAAGTGTTTGTAAGAAAGTTGCAGGTTGTTGCAGCTACCTGCAACATTCTTGCAATGTTACTGCAACAAAATTTGTTTGCAAGAAAATTGCAGCAAGTTTGCTGCAATGTTGCAAGAAAGAGTTTGTTTGCTAGAAAGTTGCAGGAACCTTTTCTTTTATTGTTTACGGAATAACTATTTGCAACAACTTTGCAAGACACGTTTCTTTAAAAACGTCAGACATCATAGTTTGCACCAATATTTCAAGCATATTAAAATAATACATATGATTATTTTTTTAGGATTTAAGGTTCAAAAAATATTACACGACATATTTCTCTGGATATTTGGTTATGAATACTTCTAATTATCTAAATTTTTTATCGTCATACTTCGATCGATCATGTTACTTAGAAATATCAGGATATTTAAATAATTTATTTAAAAAAAAATCTTCAAATAACAATGCTTATAAACAATTCCTAAACTGTACATCACATTTATGATATCTTGTAACAAGAAAGATTTCAAGAATACTTTGAATTTTATTTCAACAAGTTTAATCTAAATAATTGAGACATATTAATTTTAGTTCTATACATTATATGCCTTTTTGTCACTTTTTTGTGACATTTTTCTGTGAACAATATTTTTACTTTTATATTTTCCATCAAATGAATTTAGCCTCACCTGTTGCAGGTTGCATTTTGTTTAATTTCTAGTATCATTATTTAATTATGTATACACAAATTATTTGCATGCCCTCTTTCTCATCTCAATTAGTAATATGAGCTGGTGATAGAAATGTAATGTGCCATCTGTTTCCATTTATCTCTGTGTAGTGGCAAAGACAGGAAGTATTATAAATTAATGTACACAGAGTTTGAGGCCAAATTAAGGGTAGAATATTTTTATATATATATTTCCATTATAACTTATAACATCAAAGATAAAAAATAAACAATAGATAGATATTTTTTTATTATAATATATATCAAATATTCAAGATTTAGGCAATTAATATTTATTATTAGGGGCAAATTTCAAAGGGATCACACTGTCACAATACCCTAAACAACCTCGATCAAGAAATTCAGAATTTGAACTGGACATGAACATTCACACAACAAACAAAGATGTCTTCTATCATGAACAAAATATGAATTTTATAATGGATTTAGATCCAAAAGTTCCAATTTATTCTATTGACATTGGATAGTGCAGATGTAGTCTTCTGATGACATGACTCTTGAAAATTTTTAGGAAGATTGGTGTTTACACATATTTTGGATAACATCTTTTGGTAAGTACAATGGATTAGAATGTCCACCATTTTGAATAAGTGCATGCTCTTATAGTTCAAAATAGTGATATTTAAAGTGTCTTCTTAACTTTATAGAGTCAAGAAAAATATTAGAAATAGATTTATGCACATGAATATTATTAAAATAGTGTAAGACAGGAGATATTTTTTTTAATCTTTTTAAGACAGTATGTTTTATAAAGTCTTTTTAAGAAAGTATGTTTTAGAAAGTATTACTTAATTTATAACAAGAATCTTCCAATAAAAGCAGTTTGGTATTAAACTAGAGATCTGTGGTTTGACTGCCAATAAGACATCTATCAACAAATGACAACAAAATATAGCTTTTATATACATCATTTACATGTACACAACTAAACACCAAAATTAAATTTACAAAAAAATGGACAAGACCAATTATGTTATATAGTACAATGAAAAACAAATACCGGTATTAAAAAAAGCAATAACATTCCTAGTACTGGCATGAGGTTAAATGTATTCTACAGTTATGTATATCAGTTACAGATCCAGAAATTTGAAAAAAAACATGCAATTTCTAGAAGCACTTGACAACTTTTAGACATTGACCCTTCAAGTGAAATAAATACAGGAGAAATTTGCTCTATAGATCTCTTTATAAAGTGTTATTCTCATTTTATAAGTCCAGAATTTACAATATATAGTAGTAACTTTATATCTTTATAATGTTTAGTTTTTCTTTTTATATGCTAAATTCTTCAAGTTTTAATTTTCTATTTGAAATTAGTAAATTCAACTTAAGGACAGCGAGAACAATGGCAAACGAAACTAAAAGACACTCTGATGTAACATGACAACCTATAGATTTTATAATTAAATCATATTTTTTCAAATGCTTAGTTTTCAATTCTATATTTTTTCAAATGAAATTGTTGAAAGATTTGCTGCAATGTTGCTGCAATATGCAATATTGCTGCAACAATTGCAGCTAATGAATTTGCCGCAATATTGCTGCAACAATCATAGCTACTGATTTTCCCGCAAACATTTGCCGCAATATTGCAGCAATTTGTTGTGGCAATGTTGCAGCAACTGTTTGCAAGAAAACTAATTTGCAATTGCATACGAAAAATGAATATTTGCAGCAATATTGCCGCAAATATTTGCAAGAAGCCTTATTTTTCCTTAAGGAACATCAACATATAATACAAAGGGATACAAAAATCACACGCACTTGTTTCTGTCAATGGGGGGTTCACTATCCATACTCGTACGAAAATTTTTATTTTTATGTTGGTGGGTGGGTAGGAGGAATTTAAGGGGACATTATATTCATTCTCTTATTTTACTATTATGGCTTATTAATTTTTTTCAATCTGTACACAATTGTTCTTTCCTTTTTATTGGACAGAATATTCATGTTCATCCTGTGTCAGCACTCTTGAGTAATGTTTATTTTATGTTCGGTTATAACCATGATTACATGGACATATACCAAAAAGTATAAAAGAAATTTACACATTGAAATTAACCAATCACCCACCCATTTGAAAAGCTTGTACACATGCTGCTTTGCATTACATGAATCCCCAGAAACTAATTAATTTACAATTTCTTTATACATGTTATATCTGATATGTTATATTCTTCCAATGATTATATACACAATCTAATTAGAAATGATAATCCATTAACAATATTACTTTCTGAAACTTCATAAATATTGTCAAATTCAAGGTGTCAATTTAGTGACAATACAGTCATGACAGTGGTGGTTCCAGGATTTAAATTAAAATAAAACTGAGTTGTGAGTGCCCCCAAAATGTATAAAATTTCAGCTTGCATTGTACAATAGACATGTTATGATCTTATGATGTTTATGCAAACAATTAAATATAAAAATGTTATCAAAAGGCTTGGAATAACATAAATTTGCTCCTTGTTAAACATGTTAAACCTAAAAGTTATTTTTCAAGACTTTTGAAATGTTTTTCTTTGTCTGAAACTTTTATGTACATGTATTGAGCAAAAATGCTGGGGGCATAATTATCTATAATACTTAATAAATACATGTACATGTATTTTCTTGGTAATTTATTTGGCAAATTTGTATTCATGTGTTGATAATAACAATGCAAAGTTTAATTTTGCTTTGAATAATTTAGTATATATACATTAATAGTAATTGTATGTAAATTTGCTTTATATTTACAGGATGGAGAAAGATGTTCACTATGGATCAAAAATTCAAAACAGAGGACATTTTTATTCAAACAAAAATACTTGTACATGTATGATATTCTGTACATACAACAAGAAAACAGTAATGAAATGGAATGTCCAGTGATGTTGAAAGCAAAATTATTTTTGTTAACAGAAAACAATAGGACTACAATATATTAAGGGTAAGTAATCCAAAATTGTCTGTTTAGGGTTACAAAAGTGGGTTTTTGACAATGTGCTATGATTTCAATCCCCCAAATATGGAACAAAAACATAATATACATGGTATTTAAACTGTTTTCATAAGGAAACAGACTGAAAATATTCTGCATTTAACAGTCAGACATGAAAGTTGCCAATGTAATAAATTGGGACTGAAACTTAAAATTTATAGGATATAGGCCAAAGAATCATTCTGACTTTAAGGCAAAATGGTATACTTTTAATAGTTTAAAGATTTTATTTTATTATCTATGCTGTATAAATGTCAATATTGTTTCATTTGGATTTAAAAACCTAATTTCAAGAATGAAGGGTACAATAATTTAAAATTAATTTAAATGATTAAAAACAATACAAGGGAAGTAACTCTTACAGATGTGCATTATATCCTAATGAAGTGTTTTAATGAAATTGTCCATTTTTTTCAGATAAGAGAATGACTTAAGCAGACTGTTTTGGGGTCAAAGATGGCCATAACAATGAAATACAATATATTATAATTATCATTCTTCATTACGTTTTGATTGAATTAACAAACTTAATTTAATTACAAAATATTTTCTTTTTTTCAGTACACAACACATCTTGTCAGAAGAATAATTTTACTGGAGGATAAAAAATTTAATACCTGGAATCAGCAATTTACAAAATGTATATGAAATTTATTAAGAGAGATATATTCATGTACAGAATGGTAACCCCACCAAATAACCCAGGTGGCTCAAGTGATTATAAGCAGACATTTTTGTTGAACTAATGCAGGATTAAATAAATGAAGCTTTAGCAGACTATGGGCTCCAAAGTGTAGTAAAAAGAGAATTTTTAAATATGTGAGACTCATCAACATTAAAATGTGCATATTAAGTGAAATATTACAATATTTAGTAAAAAATTCAGATTATTTACTCAGTTGTTTTCATGAAATTTTTTATTAAAGCAATATCACTGTTATATAATTAATAAGATTCCATATGTTTTATTTTATACTATTGACAACCGAATATATCTTCCATCTGGCCTCAAGTGTTTCCCTTTTATTTTGTATGAGTGTAATTTACAGAAAGCTCACTTTGCTTTTGGCGAATTCAAGTTTTGCCTTTCAAGAATTATTGGACTTTATTCATGGAAAATTAGACATTTACCCATATGTTGTAGAAGAACTCAATTTTGCTTTAATACTTTTTCAAGAAATTGTATCACAAGGCTAGATTTGATCAAATAATCTCACTTTTGAATATTTATCACATATCACATACTAAATAATCTAGTATGCTTAGATTGACTTCCTTCACTTTTGCCCTGTTGTTGAGATCGAGTGAAATAATTTAATTATTTTATCCCTATCAATTTGGGGTGGGGATCTGTGTCCCATCGGGACCGTCATTCAACACTGCATAACTATATCCTATCACAAGTTATGATACAGCCAACCATATAACATAGCCCCTGCCAATGAAAGGAGAAAAGAGGTGCATAACATACAAAAAAATCTTTCATATGCTTAGCTTCATTGTATCCTTTGAATATTTCATTGATTTTTTGTCAGCAGTTATTTATTAAAGGTACTACAGTTCCCTGTCACTTTGCCTGCTAAGGCTTGATTACAGTTCCAATATAAAAATAAGAAGTCGGGGTATGATTGCCAATGAGACAACTCTCCACCAGATACCTTATGACAAAAAATAAATATATGTATAGGTCTCTGACAGCCTTCATCAATGATCAGAACCAATAACGCATAGTAAGCTACATGTATAAAAGGTCCCTAAATAACATGACACAATAGAGGCTGAAAATGAATATTCTGCATCAGTGAGTATGCAAAAGTGAAAATATATTTAGAAAGAAGAGCATGTGTAGCAATGGCTGCAAATAAAAAGTCAATCAAGAAAAAAAAATCCTACTACCTCACACGTTATGGCTTATGCAGTTTATTCACTAAATTGTCAACAAACTTTTACATACTTCATTCAACTAATTTACATTAAACCTGGAAACAGTATATCTGTCAGATATATATGTTCGTGATTAAACAAGACAAAATAAAAGAAAAGAACAGGGCGAATTGTTAACAGGGTGAAGGACCCAGAGCGAACAAGTACTAGTGTAACAGTAAATTTGGTCCGGTAGTAAAATTTGTCCGCCAGACTTTTTTTCCTAGTTAATCAAGTCCATGACCATTATTTTACTAGGAATTTAAGTCCCAGGACAAATTTTCCTAGGTAAATAAGTCCATAGCTAGTAAAATATGTCTGGTACTTATTTTCCTAGGAAAAATTGTCCTAAGACTTGTTTTTCTAGTAATTTTTATTATATTATAAAAATTATTGAAAATAAAAAAAAAAAAACAACATATTTTCTTAGTTAAGATTGGAAAGTTTCATTAATTTTTTTTCTATTAAAATAAAGGACATGGTCGGATGTTATAACCTAGACATGTTAATGACATGGACATGATGTCCTAGGGAAATTAGCCTGGGGACATAAAGTTTATTAAAATATTAATACACAACTCTAAAATAATATTAAAACATAACATTTAAATTTAACTTTCAAAATAAAGGGAATGGACATTTTTACCTAGGAATATTAATAACATGGACATGATTTCCTAGGAAAATTAGTCTGGGGACATGGATTTTATTAAAATATTAATGAACAACTCTTTAACAATATTAAAACATATAAATTGAATTTCCATTGTTTACATGTAAATAATTTGTTTCATTAAAATTTCCCTTTTAAAATAAAGGGCATGGACGTTTTTACCTAGGAATATTAATGACATGGATATGATATCCTGTGAAAATTAGTCTGGGGACAAACATTTTATTAAAAAAATTGATACACAACTCTTAAACAATATTAAAACATAACATTTATATTTACCTTTTGAAATAAAGGGCATGGACGTTTTTACCTAGGAATATTAATGACATGGACATGATTTCCTAGGAAAAATAGTCTGGGGACATGAATTGTATTAAAAATATAAATACACAACTCTTAAACAATATTAAAACTTAACATTTAAATTTCCAATATTGTTTAAATGTAAATGATTTGATTCATTAATATTTTTCCTATTAAAAAAAGGACATGGACGTTTTTACCGAGGAATATTAATGACATGGACTTGAATTCCTAGGAAAATTAGTCTGGGGACATAAATTACTAACATCGGACTAAAAATACTAGTAAATTCTGTAACCATGGACTTTTTATACTAGTAATATGTGTCCGCCCGGACATATTTTACCAGGACAAATTTATCTCTTACACTAGTGCCAACAGACCAGGATTCCCTTCCCACCACCTACCTAGAATAGCAAATGTTCCTCCCCATATGCATAGATATATTAATACTAGTCTAATAGTCATTATACATGTTATACCAATGCCCTAAGAAACTGCACATTGAATTTTTAAAAAATGAAGTCATGAAGAGTCTAAACCAACACTGCAAACCAGAAATTAAGAATCAATAAAATGACACATGCCTTTGACAAAATTACCCCCACCCCCCTTTTTTTCAAAAAAGTAACATAACAAAACCCATAACGATAACTGTATTTACGAAAGGAAACTTATGAAAAAAACAGATAGCTTTTCTATGGCCTATTCAGATTAGATGTTCATTAAAAACTCATCGGCCGGTAACATACTAACAATATTCACGAAATAAATATGGATCAACGAAGTACGATATCAACAAATCAATCCCATGATGATATAGGCCTAAAACTGTTAGTTTACCAAGCTCGGCCTGTTTTGGTATAACGTTGATATGAATTCAACATATCGCATGACTTCCTTTGCATACAGATAAACAAAATTGCTACAAAGAAGTAAAGAATCCAACTTTTAATGACATTTACGTTGACATTTTCGGCGCCGGAAATTGACAACGTTGGTCTATATACTGACACAACATCGGTTGAGGTCGATTCCGGCAATTCTGCTTCAAAAATCTCTAGCAGTTAGAATTTATTGATGTCTTAAAATATTTTTGTTATGTTTTAATAAATTTTAGTGGATAATTATTTTTGAGAGAAGAATAGCTATCGTATACTTCAGAAAAAAGGTTAAGGGAGGACCACGCACCCATAGTGGGGACATACAAAATAAAGATGACCGTTCTCCATTTCTTCTCGATAGAAGTGCCTAATTTTTTCACAACATATACATTATGTACCAAAGATTATTATATGAAAGTATAAAAAAAACCGAGGCGAAATTTTTTTAGAAACATCTAATAATTATAGCAGACCAATAGACGTAATAGAAAAATAGACCAAAATGGCGCCTTCTTCAATTTCGAAAAAAATCTATAATTTTACAATTTATGGACACATATTATTATTTTTAAAGGGGTTAAATTTCTAAGGATTCACCTTTTCATGACAGTTGAATGAATATTTACTTTAAAAACAGAAACTGTTCCAATTTCTAAATCTATCGACCTTGCAAGGAAAAACCTATAAAAAATTGAGACCCCTACTTTAAAATGGGTACAAATATTTGCCCTGGCTTGAACACCCCTGTTCTTTACGAATTTCGATGCCAAAAACTAGCGAGAATAGGATGTAAAAAATTTTAGAAAATCGAAGGATATGTATTTTTTTGTACCCATTTTTAATATCGCTATTTAATTCTACAGTGCATAAAATCAAAATCCGAAATTCTATGTTCAGATATAAAAAAATAAGATTTCCTTTTATTTTAATGTTCGAAAATGAAAATAATATGTAAACTCATATATTTTTCTCTTATAGATATGCTTACAATCAACAGTATTTACCGTCGGTACTTTGCCGTAAGCGAATGAAAAAAAATTACAAAAGCGCGCCATTTTTCAGTTGACGTCGGCCGACGCAAAATAGTCCAATTTTCGGCGTAGGACTACTGAGCGCCGCCGAATCACATTTTGGCCAAAAAGGCACATCCGGTTGTCCTACTGATGTCGGCTTATTTATTCTCACTTTTGTAACCAATTATTCACTGCTTTTTGTTTTGCAGAATAATCATTTTCATCCCGGCATTGAAAATATTTCAGTTCTGCTCCCACCACTGTCCCCCAAAAAGAGACGGAATACACCAAAGGGGTATAACAAACAAATAAGTCCAAAAGAAACAAACAACGCCATAATAGTACATAAATGTTAGCAAATAGTTGTTTACCTGCTTTCAAAAATAAACCTTGAAAAATTTAAGTACAAGGTTCGTAACTATTCTTTTTTGAGACAGTTGAAATATTGCTGAATAAATCAGTAAGATCAAAGTAACTTTGAGTAAAAAAAAAATAGTTGAACAGAATCCTAGATTTCAATACTTTGATTGACTAATCAGTCGGAATTGGAATTTTTTTTTAGGTGTTTTAGAAGCAACTGTACTACTTCTACTGTTTATTGTTCCACTGTTATGCTCTTGACAATTTAAGTTAAAAGATTACTTGTTTTAGTTATTGAAAACACACACATATATATTACGATTACGAAAATTATTCCATAGTTACATCTACAAATTCAAGAGAAGTACACACAGTCAATTGTTTCGTTTTACATATTCTATAAATGAATTATTTGAGAAATAAATAAATAATAATGATAAAAAGCACAGGCAGTCTTAATTGGGAGGGTAATTTAATTGATAACTTCAAAGTTTACTTGAATATTGCATGATATTAACTTACGTTGTGCTATAACGGCCAACAGAACAGTTGTGTGTATTAGAAACACTAATAACAAATCGTGTGTTTTCATTTCCAGCAAATACATTCGGAACAAATATTATGCTGAAATGAATTAAATAAGGATTATTGAATGCATCAAATATGATATAAAATTTCGAAGAAGTAATATTATATAAAGTGCTATCTGTAATAAACGTAATTAAAGTTGATCGCAGCATTATACATGTACCAACTTCTTAAAATACAAACGTTGATAAAAAAATATATAAGTAAATTAATATTGCAAACCATTTAACATGTTAAAAGTGCAACATTCAGCTATGTCGTTCCTCGTTTCTTGATACTTGTAAATTGTAAGAGCTACATGTACTACAAATGAAATTAATAATTTCCTACGAAATTAAGATAATAAATCGAACTTAATATATGTAAAACGGTATTTTTACTATTTGTTAAATACCTTTTGTAGATATTGGGTAGGACAGATTTAGGGCTATCCTAAGTGACACCACACTCCAAGTAACTAGATGCTTTTAGTATTGGAGCGTGAAATTTTAGAGAGCATCCAATTCTTGGAGTGTGATAAAACACAGACAACGAGGGAGGGCGGGACGGGGGAAAACAAAATAGTAGTCGAGAGTTCTTATTCTAACGAACATGAAGTTCACCAAACCAACAAACAAATGCTATCTCAGAGAGAGGAAGATTCAACCTCCATCCTCAGATCGACTGCATCTCGAAATATGATTTAAATCTAAAGGTCTCGTGACATCTCGTGAGATGTCGCTTAGGATATAGGGCTATCCTAAATGACACCACAATCCAAGTAACTAGATGCTTTTAGTATTGGAGCGTGAAATTTCAGTTCGCATATCCTTACTCTCAAGATTGTTACCATTGAAGCAAACCCCTATCCGTCCATCATACCTTATCAACTATTAATCCCAAAACTCACAAAAACAAAAACCCCAAACTAACCAAGACAAATTCTTTTAATATATGTGAAAGACAAAACCATGAAACTTATAGTCGTTTTCTTCGTAAACTGGTAATCATTATATGCCGTATTGTCTGATAATTGTCTCATTGCCAATTACTCCACATTTATTGTTATCAGTAAGTAAATAAATACAATATTAACAAATACAAATTTATTCATATATATACAAATATTCGGTAAACGTTAAATACAAATACACTGAAAACTATTTTCATACAAATAACACTTGAAAAAATGAGAAGTTAGAGAAATGATGAAGGCAATTTGGTTGCGTCACCCACTTCGTCAAATACTCTCTTAGCTGTTTGAGGTGACCGAGCAATTTCCTTAAATAGGGAACCTACTGAGTTCTCTACAAAATTGTTTATCCTAGAGTATCTATCATAACTTTTTTGGCTAAATCAAAAATACTATTTTCTGCTGCTACTTCTGCGCGGGGAACTGAAAATGGAGGTAGGAGAACTCTTCCTCTGTAATCCACCCAAACTTCTTTGTTTTCTTTAAAACCAATACGGCTAGGGTCAAATAATGACTTAATTTCCCATTCAGATAATTCAAATTTCATTTTTTTTTTGGATTATAACCCTAAAATGAAAAAAATTACAGAGAAAAAATTCCCCGACCTCCATTCCGCGTGACTAAAAAATAAGCCACTAAGGATTAGATTCCAATGGAATGAAAGCCAGAAAACTTTGAAACTTTACGAAATTTTAACGGAAAAACTTTTAGGTAATCCAGAAAAAACTTAATGCAAACATTTAACTACTCCTTCTTCAACTTCGGTCACGAGTTCACGTGATGACCATTCCCCTCACAGAAGAAACAAGCGCCCTTAGTTCTCCTTTGGAATCTAGGGCGAAAACCTGGTTTTCGCATTATACTTGAATCACTGAAAGGTGGAGCAGCGGGACCATGTGCTGGGAAAACCATTACCATAACCTACAGGATTACCATAACCTACAGGGAACGGATTATAAGGGAACGCTGGACCAGGATATGGAAAAGCTGATGGACCCGACACACTTTGAAATAGGCATTTGGTTACAACCCTTGCTATCAACCTTCTCTTCAGTTTTCTCATTTTTCCTAGCATTCTTTTGCCATTCAGCAATAGTAGCTGAAATCTTTTTATCTTCTGAAGACCCAAGCAATTTTAAACACAAATTAGAAATGTCATCATGATTTTCAAATTGTCTACAAGCCTGCAAGGCCTTACTAAAGGAATCAGCCTCTGGGTGACTTGCTTTATTAGCACACTCAACCGAAAACTCTAATGCAGCTATAAGAACGCTTGGTGGCGTCAACTTTGGCCTCCCGACCAAATCTCTTACACTTTTTAATGCTTCTGTAACTTTATCCGAAATTTGCTGATTTTTCAAATTGTCAAAACTGTTTTCCATTTTCCGAAGTCTTCCCTCAAGATCAAAACTAGTTTTAGTGGAGTTAGAAATACTAACCGGGGTATTTGAAATTTGTGGCCCCTGGACACCAGCAATTGGTGTAACAGGTCTAGTAGTAGATGCAGCAGATCTCGATGCACCTGAAAGATTCATATCAAATTTTACATTCTACTAACTAAGATAACTAATAATTATACCAATATTAAACACTAAAAGCTAATAATCTTACAATTATTACCCAATATATTGCATTTCGGCTAAGTGTACTCCATTGACAAAGATTATTTTTGTGAGCATGAAATTTTCCCAATTTTCAATTCAATCAACTCTGATGAGAATTTACTATTCAAAATATTGATTATCTGCCAACCTTTTAAAATAAATTTGCGTGTAAACTCAAAATAGCAAGTGCACTACAATGTAGTTTCTCAGTAAACATTTTCCTACAAGTTCGAAATCGTTTAAAAATAGTAAAACATACAATTTGGTTATGATAAATTAAGAAGTACACAAAAACGTACAAGACAGAAAAACTTCTGACTTTTTTTCGTCAAATCGATTGCAGGTTTTGTTACATGCACATCTACCCTATTTGCCTTTAATTTTATAAGTTATTGACATTATATATTCTTATCCAAAATGAATGAGAAAATTGCACCCATGTCACTATCCGACCTATATAATAAATGATATATTTATCAGGATTAAAAATACCTTACCTTGATCAAGAGTAGTTAAAGATGAACCCTTTGGGCCGCCAATCAAATTGGCATAAAGAATGGCTTGGTGCATGAGTTGCAGACCGTTCTCCAAATTTACGTCTTTTCCAGCCAGCCTCAGAACATCCTTAAAAGATTCTGCCGTTAATTTCTTAAACTCTGTTGACAACTCCTCAAGAGAATAGTTGTTCAGCGGATGATCTTTTTTAAGACGTGCCATGTTTTCCACCAAAACGTCATCATCAGCGGATTTGAAACCCAAGATCATTGGCAACAGACCTTTCCCAACTAGTGTATCTCTAGGCTTTAAAATTAAGTGTGGCTCAGCCATCTACAAAATATAATATATTCCATAAAAACGAATATATATATAAAATAAAAAACAAAACAAAAAACAGCTAAATACGACAAAATGTCAACTCAGATTAAAAGATAAACCCATATTGCAAACATAATACTTCTATCATATTGGAATGTGCCGTCAACCGATCCAATCATTTCAATACCATCCGTCACGTGACACTTGTCAAAGTATACCGACAGCACCTATTATCAAAATTGATAATAATTACCCCAAATAAAATAAAATAACATGTTCTATATAGAGCCCACAAACGAGGGGCTGAATTCGTTTTATAAAAATTAAGAATAGGTGGTAGTTATTCTTCTATCTAAATACCGCAAAACAAAAATAAAACTCATTCATGAACATCATTAGCTATCGAGCGCACCTTAAATTTGACAACAAACTTGCGTAATTACCTTTACACTTTATAAATGTTTCACAGAAAGTTCACCTGTTCAATCAATGCAATAAAATCAATACTGACCTATCTAGGTCAATCAACTGACGAAACATGTTTATTTATTGTGACTGAAATATGCTAAATAGGTAAACTTCTCAAATCGTACACATCATATAGCATATCAAATGTTATATAGATCTTCAAATCACATAATAAAATCATAATTCAAACTGACTAAATAGGGAATAAATAAAGAGTAAAACCTTAAACGCACGGACGAAGTAAAAAATTCTGTAAAATTATAAAGGATTTCAACTAAATAAAATCAACCAGCCGATTACATATAACCAAAAATCACCCCGTGTTTCGAAAAAAAAATGACGACATCGTCAAAAACAATCAATGAAAATTAGACGATAATCCTTAAATTAAACACGCCAAACTAAGTTCGCTCTCTTAAGTAAAGAGACCACCTTCATAAAATTAATCTATAGGACCAGCATCCTATAACCAAAAGACAATACATGTCTGTTCTCAAATAAAAACGGATCACCATCCTAAATAACAAGACAACAAATGTGCGTTCAAATAAATAGGACCACCGTCCTTAAAAAATTCCGACGGACGACACCATCCGTTCCCACAACAGAATAAAACAAATAAAAATGCAGACCATCTGCTAAATAGGACCACCGTCCTTTAAAAAATTCCGACGGACGACACCATCCGTTCCCACAACAGAATAAAACAAATAAAAATGCAGACCATCTGCTAAATAGGACCACCGTCCTTTAAAAAATTCCGACGGACGACACCATCCGTTCCCATAACAGAATAAAACAAATAAAAATGCAGACCATCTGCTAAATAGGACCACCGTCCTTTAAAAAATTCCGACGGACGACACCATCCGTTCCCATAACAGAACAAAATAAATAAACAATGCAGACCATCTGCTAGGACCACTGTCCTTTTAAAAAATTCCGACGGACGACATCATCCGTTTCCGTAACAGAATTAAATAAATGAAAATGCAGACGACACCATCTGCCTAAAATTATATTTACCATACAAATAAAATAAAATATACTTACATTGAACCGATAAATGAACTCGGATATCTTTCGTATATAAAATAAAGCACGTTTTGCACGAGCCCTGGAAAATAGCTTTAAAGGGAGGACAAAGGCACGTCTGTCCTCGATGACTGCAGCTCGAAATATGATTTAAATCTAAA